CAGGAATGAGCCACCACGCCTGGCCCATATAGTTGGTTGTTTTTGTTTTTGTTTTTGAGACGGAGTCTTGCTCTGTTGCCTAGGCTGGAGTGCAGTGGTGTGATCTTGACTCACTTCATGCTCTGCCTCCTGGGTTCACACCATTCTCCTGCCTCAGCCTCCCGAGTAGCTGGGATTACAGGTGGCTGCCACCACGACTGGCTAATTTTTGTATTTTTAGTAGAGACGGGGTTTCACTGTGTTAGCCAGGACTAGTAGTTGTTAATTTAGCAAAATTATAAACTCATTGTCATTTACAAATTATTATTTTATGCTCAAATTGTCACATTCTTGTTTTCTGCTAAGAACAGAATGCTCCAGGATCCATTCAGACTTTTTTTCTTGCTTCAAGAAATCAACAACTGTTAGTTTCCTATTGATGTTATAATTTAGTCACATCTATAAGGTCCTTTTGCATGTACACAGGTTTGGGGGATTAGAATATTTACATCTTTGGGAGGGTACTGTTCTGTCTGGCTTCTGGCCCCCAAAGTTTCACATCCATTTCACATATAAAATGCATGTATTCTATTCCAAATTACCCAAAGTATCAGCCCACTGATACTTTTGTAAAATCTTTGGTAACTGGGGTAGGGGGTGTGGAGTAATATCTCATGTACATCTCATCAGCTCCACCTGAGGATATCCTCAGGCTCAAGCCTTTTCTTACATTTTGTCCTTTTTCTCATAGTCCGAGCTGGCAGTGTTTCTGCTGGTATAAAATTCTCTCAAGAACCTTGTGAGCCTCCTTTGTGTGTCGTGGGAATTAATTCCATTAGACAAACAGGAGGCTCCTCTACAGACAGATGGGATAATCTCATATCTGTTTCTGGTTTCTGCTGAGATAGCTGTGTCAGTTGCCTAGTCTCTTCAAAGAGCCCGCAGTATGAATGAATATTCTGATCTTTTGATTCTTCTGAGGCACTAGAAAAAGGCTGTACAACTGCACCTTTGGCTTTTCCTCCAGAGCACACATTCTTTGCAGTGAATCCCCTAATTTTAGCATCTTTTGCTATATGGAAGGCTGAGAATTTCCCAAATCAAGTACTGGTTCCTTTTGGCTTAATAGTTCTCCCCTCAACTTCTCTTTTCTTTTGCATTTTATATAAGCAGTAGGAAGAAACCAGAAAACCTCCCCAGCTAAATATCCAAGTTCATTGTTTACAAGTTCTGCTCTCCTCATAACTGTAGGACACAATTCAGCTCAGTTTCTCCCACTATTTGAGGACTCCCTTTCCTCCTGTTTCCAGTAGCATGCTCCTCACTTCCTTCTGAGCCCTCACCAGCAGGAATTTTTTTTTTTCCTCGAGATGGAGTCTTGCTCTGTCGCCCAGGCTGGAGTGCAATGGCGCAGTCTCGGCTCACTGCTACCCCTGCCTCCTGGGTTCAAGCGATTCTCCTGCCTCAGCCTCCCGAGTAGCTGGGGTTACAGGCATCCGTCACCACGCCCGGCTAATTTTTGTATTTTTAGTAGAGACGGGGTTTCACCATGTTGGCCAGGCTGGGCTCGAACTCCTGACCTCGTGATCTGCCTGTCTCGGCTTCCCAAAGTGCTGGGATTATAAGTATGAGCCACAGCGCCTGGCCCTCAGCAGTATTGTTAATGTCTATATTTCTATTAACAGTCGTTATGATGATTACATATTCTTTAACACTGTATGTTCTATTACATTTTCCTTTTTTTTAGACAGGGTCTCTCTATCCCAGACTGGGGTGCAGTGGTGCAATCACAGGTCACTGCAGCCTTGACCATCTGTGCTCAAGTAACTTCCCAGTTCAGCCTCCCGAGGAGTTGGGACCACAGACAAGCCACCATGTATGGCTAACTTTTAAATTTTTTTTGTAGCCGGGTGCAGTGGCTCACGCCTGTAATCACAGCACTTTGGGAGGCCGAGGTGGGTGGATCATGAGGTCAGAAGATCCTGGCTAACATGGAGAAACCCTGTCTCTACTAAAAATACAAAAAAATTAGCTGGGTGTGGGGGCGGGCACCTGTAGTCCCAGCTACTCTTGAGGCTCAGGCAGGAGAATGGCGTGAACCCGGGAGGCAGAGTTTGCAGTGAGCTGAGATTGCGCCACTGCACTCCAGCCTGGGCGACTGAGCGAGACTCTGTCTCAAAATAAATAAATAAATAAATAAATAAATAAATAAATAAATAAATTTTGTAGAGATGGGGACTTCCTATGTTGCCCAGGCTGGTCTTGAACTCCTGGGCTCAAACCATCCTCCCACCTCGGCCACCCAAAGTGCTGGGATTATAGGTGTGAGTCATCGCACACTTCCTCTATTGTGCTTTTCATTTCCTTCAGAGTCCTCACTAGCAGAGTTGCTAACCCATACTTCTACTAATAATTAAGGCATTCTAGGCTTTTTCTGTCATCCTCAGAATTCTCCAGCCTCTGCCCAGTGCCCAATTCCAAAGCCACTTCAACACTGTTAGGTATTTGTTAGAGAAGCATCCCACTTGGAGGTACCAAAATCCATATTTCATATTGTTGCTTTAACAACCTACCACAAACTTTGTGGTTTAGAACAGTACCAGTTCTTGATAGTTCTGGAAGTCAGAAATAGGTCTTATGGGACTAAAGGTGTCAGCAGGGCTATTTTCCTTCTGGAGCTCTAGGGAAGAATCTTTTTCCTTGCATTTTCCAGCTTCCAGAGACTTTCTGGATTCTTTGGCTCATGTCCATGTCACTCCAGCATCAACTTCGTCACATCTCCTCTGATTCTGAACTTTGGACCCCATCTTGTGGTTTTTTTTTTGTTTGTTTGTTTTTTGTTTTGAGATGAAGTTTCGCTCTGTTGCACAGGCTGGAATGCAGTGGCGCGATCTCAGCTCACTGCAAGCTCCACTTTCCAGGTTCACGCCATTCTCCTGCCTCTGTCTCCTGAGTAGCTGGGATTACAGGTGCCCGCCACTGCACCCGGCTAATTTTTGTATTTTTTGTAGAGCCAGGGTTTCATCATATTGGTCAGACTGGTCTCAAACTCCTGATCTCAGGTGATCTGCCTGCGTCAGCCTCCCAAAGTGCTGGGATTACAAGTGTGAACAGCCGCGCCCGGCCTCAAATTTTTTATTTTTATTTATTTATTTATTTTTTTGAGGCAGAGTCTCACTCTGTTGCTCAGGCTGGAGTGCAGTGGCGTGATCTCAGTTCACTGCAACCTCCACCTCCTGGGTTCAAGCGATTCTCCTGCCTTTGCCTCCTGAGTAGGTGGGATTACAGGCATTCACCACTGTGTCCAGCTGATTTTTGTATTTTTAGTAGAGATGAGGTTTCACCATGTTGGACAGGCTGGTCTTGAACTAGTGACCTCAGGTGATCCACCCGCCTCAGCCTCCCGAAGTGCTGGGATTACAGGCATTCACCGCTGTGTCCAGCTGATTTTTGTATTTTTAGTAGAGATATTTTTAGTAGAGATGAGGTTTCACCATGTTTCACAGGCTGGTCTTGAACTGGTGACCTCAGGTGATCCACCCGCCTCAGCCTCCCGAAGTACTGGGATTATAGGCATTCACCGCTGTGTCCAGCTGATTTTTGTATTTTTAGTAGAGATGAGGTTTCACCATGTTGGACAGGTTGGTCTTGAACTAGTGACCTCAGGTGATCCACCCGGCTCAGTCTCCCAAAGTGCTAGGATTACAGGCATGAGGCACAGCACCAGGTCCTATCTCAAGCTTCTTAACTGCACCTGTTAAATCCCTTTTGCCATGTAAGGTAACATACTAATAGGTTTCAGAGATTAGGATGTGGACATTTTGGGGGGCTGTTTTTCTCCCTGCCATACCTGCTCTCCCGTGAATCCATGTTTAGTGGAGGACAACATTTGAGGCACTTACATGGATGCTAGGGGACATATATATGAATGTTAGGCAAAAGTCCTGCCTGAAGCTGGAAAATATCTTTTTTAGTTTTTTTTCACCCAATTTGATGTATGACATTATTCTATGCCACTTAAAACACATGAACTAATAAAACCAGATTTTTTTTCACCTGTGTGGTTGCTGTTCAGGAATGTAGGCTCAATGTCGTCTCACATCAGCATCTGTATGTGAGATTTTCTCATTTTTGTAACCTGATGTAAATCATAGCAGCTTTGTTGGCCAAATCCAGCCTGCTGACCAGAAGTTTACAACTGCTGCTTTAGGATTAGTGATGTGATCCAATGACGGATCATAGTTGGGATTGGAATCCCAGATGTCTAAACTGTCTCAAATGGTAAGTAGGCATCAACCAGTCAGTCAAGTGGCAGGGGGATAAAGGAAGGGGTGCTACAGGCAAAAGGAGCAGCACGAACAAAGGCAAGATCAGTGGGAGCAGAGAAAGGAAGGCCATTTAGCAGACTGGCAAGATAGGTCTGACTCCTATTTGTTGCAACCCTAAAGAATTGTACATAAATCTTCACATAACTAAATATTTAAGTGGGCTGGAGGCAAGGCCTTATTCTCATCCACCCAATGATGTCACCAAACACTAAATCTTGTCTCCTGAGCTCTTAAGTGGCTGACAGTTCATATTACCTTTTGTCTGACATCCAGCAGGATGTATTTTCTCCAGCATTGCAAGCAAGTCTCAAGACCCATTCTGACTAGGTCAGCTTGGGTCTTAAGTCCGCCAGTCACTATGCCTAAGGAGATGGGATGGATGGAATAGCTTAATCTAGCGCTTGATCTATACTTAAAGCTGGGGATGCAGTTCCCTTCCCTACAACCAGAGGGCTCCCCAAATGGAACTGAGATAAGTGAGTAGGGGGAGCAGATGCTAGGACAACATAGGTAACACCTCTTGAATCCTGTTAATATGTGATCTCTGCATCCTAGAGTCAGGGACTTAATGGATAAAGGTGGTATAGACATGTTGAGAAGGTCTCATTTGAGTGAGGAATGATCCTGCTTGTTTGAGATCAGATATTTAAGGTAAAAGTTAAGCTGCTTGAACAAAAGACCCCCAGATGCAGAGGCCTTAACAAGACATGTTTTTATTTTTCTCATTTTACAGAGCTCAGTGTTGCAGAGCTGGGAGGGGGGGACTCTGGCATCTTCACAATACTTCCATTTCTGAATTCAGGTTGGCTGATCCCATGGACACCTCTCAGTCAGCAGAGAAAGGAAAAGGGCAAGGGATGTGTATTTTTGTCATGGCTTCATCTATGTCACACATCCCTTTGACTCGATTCTCACCGACCATTACAAATCATAAACCAGACAGGTGGGAGGATGGGGTCTGTAGTGGGGCGGTCATATGCCCACTTAAAACTTGTCACATTTCAGGCACGAGATTCTGGTGACTAAGTACTTTTCCTGTCCTGTCTGATCCCGAACCACATGTCAGCTGCTTCTCTCTTTGGCTTGTGCCTGCTGGTTGCTGCTAGGGTGCCCATCACTAATTAGGTCCCGTGGTGGAGGGACTCCCTACAGCTAAGGCACCATGCTTGAAAGGGGAAAGCGGCTGTAACTGAATTTGCTGCGGGCCCTCACCTGAATTCCCCACCACAGCTCCCCTCACTGCTGACACCATGCGGGAGTAACCATCAGAACGTCTCCTACTAGGGACCTCTCCTGTCTTCCTGGTCCTTGTCTAAGGATCCTCTGATCCCAGCAATGTTCTCAGGACACAGTGACAGCACTTCTCCAACCACCCTCCCCGCCTAAGTGGCACTTTTTGCCTGGAACTTAAATTTTTATTTTAAAAGAGGATGACCTCAAGCATCGTCCAGCTCTGAAAGGCCCCGCGATTCCAGCAGACGAGCCAGAAATGGCCCTAAGAAGTGACACGGAAACGTGAAGGAGTTTACGAAGCCCGGCCAGCTCCAACTCCTGCAGGACGCACACTCCAGCTCACACTACGGGAGCTGTCCGGGCCGTAGATCCCTCGTCGCAGTCAGAGATGATGTCCAGTAATTTCCAAAAGGGGACATTTGCTCTCACAGAAGAATCAAGAAGGAAGCCAGTGGGATTAGAGTAGCGGCGATAACTCAGCCTTCCACAAAACGACGCCCAGCGCCGCCTGCTCCCGCACTACCGATAGAGAACGCAAGACATTTCGCACTGCCTGTTTCGAGAGCTAAGACCCGCCGCCCAGGCTGAGTCCGAAAACCTACAGTCTCTCTGGGCAAGCCCGATCCCACATCTGCGTGTGACGGTGCGGCGTGCTGGCGCTACCGGAAGACCGCCTGCCGGAGCGCGCCGGAATTTTCTCTCCCAATCTCCGGCTGGATCTCCCTTTCACTTCCGGTCCCTTTCTTTTACGTTTCCGACAAAACATGAGGCTCTGTGGGCCGTTAGAATCTTCAGTTCCTGCGAGCGTCGGCTTCGTCTGGGAACATCCCGTACGCCCGTTCACTTCCGGTCCCTTTCTTTTACGTTTCCGACAAAACATCAGGCTCTGTGGGCAGTTAGAATCTTCAGTTCCTGCCGGGCGCGGTGGCTCACGCCTGTAATCCCAGCTCTCAGGGAGGCAGAGGCGGGAGGATAGCTTGAGCCCAGGAGTTCGAGACCTGCCTGGGTAATATAGCGAGACCCCGTTCTCCACAAAAAGGAAGAAAAAACAAACAAACAAACAAAAAAAGAATCTTCAGTTCCTGTGAGCGTCGGCTTCGTCTGGGCACGTCCGGTACTCCCTTTCACTTCCGGTCCCTTTCTTTTGCGTTTCCGACAAAACATCAGTGTCTGTGGGCAGTTAGAATCTTCAGTTCCTGTGAGCGTCGGCATCTTTTGGGCCTGTGGAGTTTCTTGGACAGGGGCTGCAGGGCTCCAGGACGGCGCCCTTAGCGACACCATGGTGAGTAGGGTGGGCGGGCAGGCCCGGGCCCGGGCCCCATGGGGCTCTCATGGCGTAGAGGCTCAGGCGTGCAGTGCTGAGGGCTTCAGGTTCTTTGGTGTAACGAGGGGATTCTCTTCCTGCCTCGTTTAGCTGTCGCAAATTGAAAAACTGGAAACTGAGGAGCCGCGTTATCGTCCTGGACAGTGTCTTAATCCCGATGAAGCTCTTTAACCTGAGGGAAACAGACACAGAGAAGCGCTAGGGCCCGCTCCGAGTTACGGTGCATAGTGTGGGCCGGCTGTTTGTCCCTAAATACCACAGAGAAGATTAAGAGCAGTTGTGACTATATGTTTCTGGGATTATTTCATTTATGTCCGTTCTCAGTCTGCTCCATAATATACAAACATCACGAGGGTAGGGTCTTTTCATTATTGCTTCCTTAATGTCTCACACAGAGTCATTGTAGATGTTTAATAACTATTGAAGAAATGAATGGCATAGACAGGAAGTGTTCTATGAGGGTGTGCTCTCTGTGGTCTGGCGTCATTTATTGTTTCTGCATTTCTCCAAGAAGCATTTACGACGTGTAAATATAAGAATGCACGTAGTGCCGGTACAAAAATGTTGATTGGTTACTGTAATATTGGCTACTGTATTGTTTTCATTAAGTGAAGCCCCTGTAAGAAACACGGGGCGTCATGGTTAGGTTATATGAGATATATTGGAAGCCATTGTAGATTGATGAGCACAAGCTCCCAAGAAAGAGAGAAACCAGTGGAATAGAAGTAGCCGTTTCGCGGGAGGCTAAGGCAGGAGAATGGTGTGAACCCACGAGGCGGAGTTTGCGGTGAGCCGAGATCGCGCCGCTGCACTCCAGCCTGGGCGATAGATCGAGACTCCATCTCAGAAAAAAAAAAAAAAAGAAGAGGTAGCCGTTTCTGTGAGAAGGTATGTCCCAAATTACTGCGGTGTTCGCCTATCTACCAAGCATTTGCCAAGTTTGTTTCTGTCAATTGAAGGGGAGAGTCTCAAAGGAGACTTAAATTGAACTCAATTTTGCTGAGTGTCTATAAACCGCATGCTTGTTGTATTTATCTCATGAAGACATCGTGACACCTCTGTGAGATGAGGTATGCACTCTATTGTAAAGGCGGGGAAACTTGAGTTATAGAGAGACTACTTCTCAGAGATGGTAAGTGGAAGAACTGGAAATGTAAGTCCCTGACTTAGCTGGGACTCTTTCTACCTATACAACCCAGAAAACTCGGTCTCTGTCAGACACTGTGTTTCAGGGATAATTGAGTTGACATTTAGTGTGACAGTACTTACATGAAGCTTACTTTACGAAAGGCAGTCTTCAGACTTATTTTCCCCAAATACCACTGGCAGGGAACAGGCAATTGTGATGCTGAGTGTTAAGTGCCATGGTAAGTATAATCCTTGATAGAGGACACCAGCCTAACTGGGAAGAAGGGGGTCACAGAATAATGTTCTGGGTGGTCATGACACAAGTAAAATTTGAAGGAAGAATAATGCGAGTTCGCCAGATACAAGGTGTTAGGGTCAGTGGAGGAGTAAAGATTTTAAGTAGAGGGAGGCGCAGCCTTGGTCACAGGATTTGGACATATTTGATTTTTGTTTATTGTTCATATAGTAGTTCAAGTGGTTTGCTTGTGACTGTATTCTTGTAAAACTTTTCACTAAAAAGTAAATGGCAAGAAAAAAATATATTTTAAACATGGGCATTTTTCTTCTCTTTTCTCTCTTTCCAGGCCCGAAATGCAGAAAAGGCCATGTAAGTATCAATTTTTTGTAACTTAATAACCTCCATGTAACTCTTTTTGTATTTCTTCTTTTTGGTATCTGAGCCTTTTGAGAAGCTGTTTCTTTCTTTACATATGTTAAAAATAGCATTCCTGTTTTTGCCCATTTGTTTTTTCCGTTAATGTGTTTTCTCACAGTTTCCGGAACTTTTACACTGGATGTACATTTGTTCACCGGTGGTTGGTGCAGGAGTTGTGAGAGTGACAGCTAGAGAACACCAGGATGTTAGCCTTTTAACACCTGGATGTATTGCTCGTCACAGTGGTCTGATAAGTAGAGTTTCCCACAGTCCTTATGTGTAGTGTAAGTAAAATATATTCTTGGGTGTTCAGGAATACAAATTGCCTGTTAATCCCTACTCCTGAGAACATGGAAATCCCTAACTACTCTGTGGTTTCTTAATTGCTATATATACATATATATATAAATGACATTAAATACGATCATAAGCAGATCTAACCCATCCAGGAACATGGGTAATGAGAAGTCTGTGTGAACAGGATCTAATGCAGTCTTTTATATCCCTGATAGGACGGCCTTAGCAAGATTTCGCCAGGCTCAGCTGGAAGAGGGAAAAGTGAAGGTTGGTGTAAATCTTCCTCATGAACTGTAAAGTATCAAGAATAAATGCAGACTGGGCGCAGTAGCTCATGCCTGTAATCCCGGTACTTTGGGAGGCTGAGGTGGGTGGATCACTTGAGTTTAGGAGTTTGAGACCAGTCTGGACAACATGGTAAAATCCCTTCTATACAAAAAATACAAGATTAGCCTAGCCAGGCATGGTGGTGCCTGCCTGTAGTCCCAGCTACTGGGGAAGCTAAGGGAGGAGGATCGCTTGAATGCAGGAGTCTTACATTGCAGTGAGCCATGATCATGCCACTGCACTCCAGCCTGGGTGACACCGTGAGAACCTGTCAAAAAAAAAAGCTGGGTGCAGTGGCTCACGCCTGTAATCCCAGCACAGTAGAGGCTGACGGGTGGATCATTCGAGGTCAGGAGTTTCAGACTAGCGTGGCCAACATGGTGAAACCCCGTCTCTACTAAAAATAAAAAAATTAGCTGGGCATGGTGGCAGGCACCTGTAATCCCAGCTCTTGGGAGGCTGAGGCAGGAGAATCACTTGAGCCCTGCAGACGGAGGTTGCAGTGAGCCGAGAGTGCGCCGCTGCACTCCAGGTCAACAGATTTCAAACTTCAAAATTTCCTATTTCTTACCTGTACCTGCTGACGCTCTTGAGAGTCTGTACACTTGAATTCCAGTACCTCCTCATAGCTGAGACAGGGTGATGGATCTGCCTGCTTGTTTTTCAATTTATTCTGTATTATGATGAGTGGGCCCCCCCACCTTTTTTTTTTTTTGAAATGGACTGTCGCTCTGTCGCCCAGGCTGGAGTGCAGTGGTGTGATCTTGGCTCACTGCAACCTCCATCTCCCTGGTTCAAGCAATTCCCCTGCCTCAGCCTCCCAAGTAGCTGGAATTACAGGCGCACACCACCACGCCCAGCTAATTTTTTTGTATTTTTAGTAGAGATGGGGTTTCACCATGTTGGCCAGACTGGTCTCAAACTCCAGGCCTCAGGCAATCTGCCTGCCTCGACCTCCCAAAGTGGGGATTGCTGGGATGAGCCACCATGCCCAGCCTGATGATTGGGTCCTGTATTACTCCAGCTCTAATATTGAATAATAGGGACTGGAGTAAGTAGTGGAGAACAGCTGTAAGCTGAAACTGGTAAATGATTTCATCTCTTAGAGACTCAGCCAAATTAGAGATAATATATACCATTCTTTGGATTTTTTTTTTAAATTTTATATGCACATGTATATGTATACACCCATATTTATGTGTGTTTGTTTTAAACACTGATAGACATTGTTTCTTAAGGTACTATAAATATGCCAAGAAATAGCTATAACCTAGTTTAGCTGTCTCTCTATTGCAGGACAGTTAAGTTCTTTTCAGTACTAAATACAACGCAATGAATGTTTTTCCTAAGGAGAGATTGTAGAATGAGGTTTAAGGCTTAATGAGAATCATCTGGAATGAAAACTTCAAATGTATTTAGGCCATTAGATGATTTAGGCTTAAGGCCTGAATCAGTTGTGAATGTTGTATGAAACTTGTAAATAGTATAATGGAAATGTGTTATTTTTTTCTCCTTAGGAACGAAGACCCTTTCTGGCCTCAGAATGTACAGAGCTGCCCAAAGCTGAGAAGTGGAGACGACAGGTATGTTCTGGTAAATTTGATTTCAGTAGAAGTAACAAGTCTCTCATTTCTTCTTACTATCTAAATGACTATTAAACCAAAAGTCTAAGTATTTTTAAATACTAATTTTCAATTATAGTTTTTCTATACTTTCTAACATATTCAAAACTCATTAAAATGTATTACTTTTTTTTAATAGATCATTGGAGAGATCTCTAAAAAAGTGGCTCAGATTCAGAATGGTGAGCAAACCTGTTCCTTTAAAGTGCTTGATTCTCAAATCCACAGTTAGACTTGAGGACTTCAACACTCCTCTCACAATAATCAGTAGAACAAGTAGATAGTAAATGAGTAAGGACATAGAAGAGCCAATCAATACGATCAGTCAGTTTGATGTAGTTGAAAGTTGTGGAATACTGTACCTCACAACACTGTACCTAACAAAAAAGAATACATGGTTTTTTTGTTTTTTGTGGTTTTTTTTTTTTTTTTTTTTTGCCAGGCTGGAGTGCCGTGGTATGATCTCGGCTTAGTTCAACCTCCGCCTCCTGGGTTCATGCCATTCTCCTGCCTCAGCCTCCCGAATAGCTGGGACTATAGGTGCCTGCCACCGTGCCCGGGTAATTTTTTTGTACTTTTAGTAGAGATAGGGTTTCACTGCTTTAGCCAGGATGGTCTCCGTCTTCTGACCTCGTGATTCGCCCGCCTCGGCCTCCCAAAGTGCTAGGATTACAGGCATGAGCCACGACGCCCGGCCTGATACATGGTCTTTTTTAAGGGCACATGGAACGTTCACCAAAATAAAACATATTTTGGGCTACAGAACAAATGTTAACAAATTTAAAATATTTGAGGCCGGGTGCAGTAGCTCAGGCCTATAATCCCAGCACTTTGGGAGGCCAAGGAGGGAGGATCACCTGAGGGCGGGAGTTTGAGACCAGCCTGACCAACATGGAGAAATGCCATCTCTACTGAAAATACAAAATTAGCTGGGCGTGGTGGTGCATGCCTGTAATCCCAGCTACTTGGGAGGCTGAGGCAGGAGAGTCGCTTGAACCTGGTGGGTGGAGGTTACAGTGAACCGAGATCACACCATTGCACTCTAGCCTCAGCAACAAGAGTGAAACTCTATCTTAAAAAAAAAAAATGAAATTACACAAAGTATTTTCTCTGATTATAACAATAGATTCATATCTGAAAAATTCCTAAATATTTGGAAATTAACACACTTTTAAATAATTCATGTGTCTGAGAGGAAACAGCGAAGAAATTAGAAGATATTTTGAATTTAATTAGAGTGAAAACATAATGTCAAAATTTAGGAGATGAAAAAATTTATGGGATATAGTGCTTAGTTAAAAATATATAGCACTGGCCTGGTGCAGTGGCTCACGCCTATAATCCCAGAAGTTTGGGAGGCTGAGGTGGGTGGATCACGAGGTCAGGAGATAAGAGACTATCCTGGCCAACATGGTGAAACCCTGTTTCTACTAAAAATACAAAAATTAGCTGGGTGTGGTGGCATGTGCCTGTAATCCCAGCTACTCTGGAGGCTGAAGCAGGAGAATCGCTTGAATCCAGGAAGCGGAGGTTGTAGTGAGCCAAGATCGTGCCAATGCACTTCAGGAATCCATCTCAAAACAAACAAAAAATATATATATAGCACTGAAATAATGGAAAGTTATGGAAGTTTTCAAATCAGTGATCTAACCTTCTACCCTACGAAATTAGAAAAGAAGAGGCCGGGCACAGTGTAATCCCAGCACTTTGGGAGGCCAAGATGGGTGGATCACGAGGTCAGGAGATCGAGACCATCCTGGCTAACACGGTGAAACCCCGTCTCTACTAAAAAATACAAAAAATTAGCCGGGCGTGGTGGCGGGCGCCTATAGTCCCAGCTACTCGGGAGGCTGAGGCAGGAGAATGGCATGAACCTGAGAGGCAGAGCTTGCAGTGAGCTGAGATCTGGCCACTGCACTCCAGCCTTGGCGACAGAGCGAGACTCCGTCTCAAAAAAAAAGAAAAGAAGAGCAAATTAAACACAAAGGAAGCAGAAGGAAGGAAATGGTTAAGATAAGAAATCAATTAACATTGAAAACAAGATGAGTAGAGAAAACAGGCCAATAGCTGGTTCTTTGAAAAGATCAATAAAATTGATAAACTTCTAGTCAGACTGACCGAGAAAAAATATACACAAATTAAGAATATTAGAAACCAAATTGGGAATATTACTATAGACTCTGTAGACATTAAAAGGATAATACGGAAATATTACAGACAATTTTATGCCCATAAATTTGACAACTTAGATGAAATAGGTCAATTCCTTAAATTCCTTATAATTCACAAACTGCCAAAGCTCATTTAAGAGGAGTGGTTTTTTTTTTTTTTTTTTTTTTTTTTTGAGACGGAGTCTTGCTCTGTCGCCCAGGCCGGAGTGCAGTGGCTAATTCTCGGCTCACTGCAACCTCCACCTCCCTGGATTCAAGTAGTTTCTCCAGCCTCAGCCTCCTGAGTAGCTGGGATTACAGGCACCCTCCATCATACCTGGCTGATTTTTGTAATTTTTTAGTAGAGACGGGGTTTCACCATGTTGGACAGGCTGGTCTTAAATTCCTGACCTCAGGTGATCCACCCTCCTCAGCCTTCCAAAGAGCTAGGATTACAGGTGTGAGCCACTGTGCTTGGCCAAGAAGTAGTTCATTTTTTGTTGTTGTTTTGTTTTCAGATGGAGTCTCGCTCTGTTGCCCAGGCTGGAGAGCAGTGGCATGATCTTGGCTCACCGCAACCTCTGCTCCTGAGTAGCTGGGATACAGGTGCCTGCCACCACGCCCGGCTAATTTTTTGTGTGTTTTTAGTAGAGACAGGGTTTCATCATGTTAGCCAGGGTGGTCTCGATCTCCTGACCTCATGATCCACCTGCCTCAGCCTCCCAAAGTGCTGGGATTACAGGTGTGAGCCACCGCACCTGGCCCTGAAGAAATTTTTGATTGTTACAACTGGAAGGGTGCTACTGGCATATAGTGGGTAGAGGCCAGGGATGTGTTAAGCTTCCTACAAATAATTATCCTAAATAAACCACAGTGTCAATAATTCCACTGTTTAGAGACACAGTTCAAGAAGAAATGGTAAACCTGAGTAGTCCTGTATCTGTTAAAGAAATCAAGGCTGGGCATTGTGGCTCACACCTATAACCACAGCACTTTGGAAAGCTGAGGTGGGTGGATCACCTGAGGTTAGGAGTTCAAGACCAGGCTGGCCAACATGGTGAAACCCCATCTCTATGAAAAATAAAAAAATTAGCCAGGCATGGTGACGTGTGCCTGTAATCCCAGCTACTTGGGAGGCTGTGACAGGAGAATCACTTTAACCCAGGAGACAGAGGTTGCAGTGAGCCAAGATTGGGCCACTGCATTCCAGCCTGGGTGACAGAGTGACAGTCCATCTCAAAAAAAAATAGAAAAAAGATGGAAAGAAATTGAATTCGTTTCTAAATAACTTTCTACAAAGAAAATTCCAGGCCCAGATGGCTTCACTGGTCAGTTCTACTAAATATTTTTTTTTTTTTTTTTTTTTTTTTGAGACGGAGTCTTGCTCTGTCGCCCGGGCTGGAGTGCAGTGGCCGGATTTCAGCTCACTGCAAGCTCCGCCTCCCGGGTTTACGCCATTCTCCTGCCTCAGCCTCCCGAGTAGCCGGGACTACAGGCGCCCGCCACCTCGCCCGGCTAGTTTTTTGTGTTTTTAGTAGAGACGGGGTTTCACCGTATTAGCCAGGATGGTCTCGATCTCCTGACCTCGTGATCCGCCCGTCTCGGCCTCCCAAAGTGCTGGGATTACAGGCTTGAGCCACCGCGCCCGGCAGTTCTACTAAATATTTAAGGAAGAAATAATACCAACTCTACATAGTTTCCTCAAGAAAATGGAAGAAGAGGGAACACTTTTTAACTCATTTTATGAATTTCAGTATTAGTATCATTAGAATTCATTTTATGAATATTTATTATCAGTGTTACCCTCATGCTAAAATCAGAAAAAGATATGGGAAATAACTACTGACCAATATTTCCTATGAATATAGGCAAAATCTTTAATGAAATATTAGCATATCAAACCTAGCAATGTATAAACAGGATAATACATCACAACTAAGTAGGATTTATTCTGGAAAACCATAGTTGATTCAACATTCAAAAATAAGTTAATTCACCATGTCATTCTAAAGAAGAAAAACTGTATGATGATCTAAGTAGATGCAGAAAAAGTATTTGACAAAATTAGACATTTATTCATGATAAGAACTCAGCAAACTGGGAATAAAAGGAAACTTTACCTTGATAAAGCACTTCTTTTTTTTTTTTCTTTTTTTTTTCTGAGGTGGTGTTTTGCTCTTGTCACCCATGCCGGAGCGCAGTGGTGCAAACTCAGCTCAATGTAACCTCCGCCTCTCAGGTTCAATTGATTCTCTTGCCTCAGCCTCCCGAGTAGCTGGGAGTACAGGCGCCAGCCGCCACGCCTAGCTAATTTTTGTATTTTCAGTAGAGACAGGGTTTCACCATGTTGGCAAGGCTGGTCTCGAATTCCCAACCTCAGGTGATCCACCCACCTTGGCCTCCCTAAGTGCTGGGATTATAGGCATGAGCCACCACACCCAGCCCTGCTAAAGTCTTCTAATAAGAAACCCATAGTCTAAACTATTTAATGGTGAAGGATTGAATGCTTTCCTCCTAAGATCAGGAATAAGGCAAAGACATCCATTCTCACCACTATATTCAGCATGATGCTGGAAATCCTAGCTAGTACAGTAAAGTTAGAAAAGGAAATAAAAGGCATAAGGTAAAGAAAAGTAATAAAAATAAACTGTAAATTTAGAAAGTAATAAATAAAACTGTCTTTATTGTAATGTAGAAAATCCTATATAATTTTCTTTGTTATTTGAGATGGAGTTTCGCTCTGTCACCCAGGCTGGAGTGCAGTGGCGTAGTCTCAGCTCACTGCAACCTCTGCCCCCTGGGTTCAAGCAATTCTCCTGCCTCAGCCTCCTGAGTAGCTGGGCCTACAGGCATGTGCCACAATGCCTGGCTAATTTTTGTATTTTTAGTAGAGATGGCGTTTCGCCATGTTGGTCAGCCTGGTCTCGAACTCCCAACCTCAGGTGATCTGCCTGCCTCTGCCTCTCAAAGTACTGGGATTACAGGCATAAGCCACCACGCCCAGCCTAAAATCCTACATAATTTTGTATGTA